TTCATTACAATAAAGGGATGGTTCCTGGCAGTGCAGCTGGGTGAAACTTGTCTCAGCTGAGCTTCTGTGTTCTGGATAGACATCATGGTGTCCCTGCCTTTGATGCTTTTTGTGGATGGAAGGTATTCCATGGGAGGCATAAGGTTGCAGCTACTCTGTCTTCGTGGCCAACCTAGGCTTCGGTGTCTTCTATGTATACTTTGCTGCTGTCTCTGAAATTGAACAAAGGAGCAGAGAAGAGGCGCAGAGACAGCTGAGGAAGAAGGGAACTGAAAGAGAGGAAGATATTTGATGGCAGGAGGGAGATGTATGTCCCAAAACATGAAGTATTATGTGGATCATGTGTTTAAGATGTAAAAACTAAAGATCTTATGAGTTAGTTACCTAGTTTACTCAAAAGTGACAATTGAAAGTTGATTGGTAAACAGTTAGGGAACAAGAGAAATAAGAGGATGGAATTTTGAGAATGAGTGTGGTTGTTTGATTCACACCCAATGATGACTAGACATTTTGGTTTCATTTTTGTCTTTTTCTGCAATGAAAATACTAATTAGAAGTATTTATAACGGAAATTTTAAAAATTGTATGTGTAACTGAGTAAGTTAATGTAACTGTAAGATACAAAAGAAATCTACCTGAAAGCCATGTGTGTTAGCTGTGTGGCTTTAGAAAGGTCTGAAAACAGCAAGAGGAGTAAGAACTTGCAGTGGATTGAAGAATGCATGTTGTTTGCAGTCAGACTGCTAGCTGCCTTGTGTATTGGTGATTTCAGAAAACTGATCTGTTAAAAAAAAACAAGTGATCTGGCTCCTGCCGAGCTTTTGAGTCATGAGGTACTTCGCTCTGGATTCATAATTTTACCTGTTTGTCTTCCTAAAGTTGACATATCAATTCATCCATATAAAAACAAGGCCCTGAGGATTTCTAAGGAATTCCCACTCTACAGTTCTTTATTTTGAGATCCTAGGGCTAAATCTGTACTGGCTTTTTTTTCCCCCCTCCAAATTGTGTAGACTGCTTCCCAGCCTATTCTGGGATCTGATCTGTCCTTCTAGAATCGCCATGGGAAGCTCATGGACTCTGACCTTGTGACTTAGGGTAGTTAGAGCTTTATGCCTGCTTTCGAAGTTTCTTTGTGAGCGTCTTGGGAGAGATGTATATTGTGATTGAGTAGACAGAAGAAAAAGTAGAAAACAAAACAGTCTTGCATCCCGAAGTGTTCATTTCACCTGCTTTATGCATTTATAGTGCTTGTCAGCAGTGAACATAGTTCTTGCACTCTGTCCCCTGACATTCTGCAACTTAACAGGCCTTTGAATCCTATCTTCTCCTTTCAGGCACCCAGGAGGCTCTTGTGTCAGCAATTGAAAACTACATGCAGGCGCGGCCATTTAGCTTTCAGTTAAGATATAATACCCACGTACATTGAAGTGCCTGGATTTGTTGTCCACCTGCAGCTCCTTACTTCAGCGTTATGCTAATATAGACCCTGGGAGGCAGTGGTGACAGTTGAAGTAGTTAGGTTCCTGCCGCTGACATGGGAAATCTGGGTGAAGTTCCTGTCTCCTGACTTTGGCTTATCCAGTCCTAACTGTTGGGAGCGTTTAAACTAGTGCAAAGAGTCTCGTTCACTCTCTTCTCTCAAAGTAAATGAAAACAAGAAAACTTCTTGCAGCTTTTCATCAAGGTTATGGTCCCACCAAGCTGTCAAGTGTCAGGGTGATGAGGTGGATAATGAGAATGGCCCAGCCTGATGGAGAAGATCCTGACTTCTGGAGCCAGACTGTCTGGCTGTTTCCTAATCACTCTATTGCTTAGTGAGTTGCTTAATTTATGCAAACTTTTCTACCCTTTTATATAAAGCTGGTGCAAAAGTCATACAACTTCAGTATCTTTCACATGTTTTAATGCTTGAAAAGCCACTCTAAAGTGATTGGCATGCAGTGAACATTTGTTAATTGTCATGAGTTTGAGGGGGTGGGTTAAAAGATTATCCAGTCAGCTGTCCTTTCCTATATGTAATTCTCTTTAAGTTGTATTAAAGATGTTTATAATTAAAATATGTAGAAATAATAATTAAAACCTATACTAATAAATATTGTTAACAATCACAAGATGGTATTACATGAAAAGTACATAGTCCAAGAATTCATGAAATGAGAACACTGGACATCTTTCTCTTTAATACTTAATAATACAGCTTGTACTGATTTTCTGCCGTATTTAAATAGTCACTTTGTTGTCTCACAGTTTATATCTGTTTTAATATCCAAAGATTACTTGAGTGCATGAAAATTTCTTGACTATGGCTGGAGAGGTGGAGGGGAGTATGTAAGGAAGGCAGTGGCTGTGTGCCCAGTTGATTGGGAGAGAGGCATTCCTCAGCAGAACACAGCTCATAATTATGCACTGCAGTCTGGACTCTTACAGACCAGACTAGAAATAGAGCATGTTTGAAAATAAATAGCTTGGCGCCGCGTCGTGACGTGGTGGGTATGATTCCAGCATCCCACATGGGGTACCTTTTCAAGTCTAGGCTTCTCCACTTTCAGCTCCCTGCAGATAGCCTGGAAAAGCAGTGGGAGGTGCCCTGAATGTTTGGACCGTTACACCCACAGAGGAGACCAGTACAGAGCTCCTGGCTACTGGCAGCCTGGACTAGCCCTGGCTGTTGTGACCACCTGGGGAGTGAAGCAGTCAGTGGATGATCTCTCTGTGGGTCTCCATTTTTCTGTGGAACTCTTTCAAATAAAAATAAATCTTTAGGTCCCAGCATGGTGGCCTGTTGGCTAAAGTCCTCACCTTGCACATGCCAGGATCCCATATGGACACCAGTTCTAATCCAGCAGCCCTGCTTCCCATCTAATTCCTTGCCAGTGGCCTGAAAAAGCAGTTAAGGACGGCCCAAACTTTGGGACTCTGAACCCATGTGGGAAGAAGCTCCTGGCTGTTGGCTTCAGATCAGCTCAGCTCTGGCTGTTATGGCCAGTTGGGGAGTAAATCAGAGATAGAAGATCTTCCTCTCTCTATATATATATCTGCCTTTCCAATAAAAGTAAAAAAATTTTTGAAAAAATCTTCACTTTGAAATTCATAATGTATTATTATTTTCTTGATCCTATGGAAAATGACTATTTAATATACTGCCTGTAAATACTAAGATTAAAAAAAATGGGTAAAATATGATGTTTGACCTAACTTTTCAGTTACCACCACATTCCTTTTTGTTTGCTCTGCTTTTGTCATTGAACAATAGGAGTGACAGGGAAGTTTGCCAGCACTGAAGTCCAGGGTTTGTGGTGTCTGAGTTGCAGCTCTACCATTTGCTGTGAGCCTGGGAAAGTTTCTCATCTCCCTGAGTCTGAGTTTTTGATCAGGGTAGGCAGGTTAGAAGTAAAGATTAAGTAAGATATTGCATGTAATAATATTTATCACAGTGCCTTGCATGTGGTAAATATTGATCAACTTTGCGGTTACAGTTCTTAAAATAATCACATTTAGAGGAACTCAAGCTTTAAAAAGTGGCTAGGCAACATGAAGTGTAGGAGGATTAGAACTCAACTTGAATTTTTCTCGTCTATGCTGTCAAGTGATTCTTACCGTAGTTTTATAAAGTGGGGAACCCAAAAAGGAGCTCATATCTCAGTTTGTTAATATGTAGTCCCATTATCCCCCCATTCGTTTGTATCAGTGGTGGGGGCAGTGAATAGCAGAACCTAGCAGGGATTGTCATTTCAGACTGCAGGCTAATAGAGTTTTGCTAGGTTTTGAGTATGCGTAGGTTATATTTGTATCAGGGGAGAAAGGAAACATGTTTGACTTTATCTTCAGCTGTATGATGCTGAGACCAGTTGACTGCTTTGTTTGGCATTATGAAGCTCCATTCTCACTTTTCTACAAGGAGCATCCTAGATCCTTTTTAAGGGGTCAGAGGAATTAATTAAGCCATAATAGATCATTGTTAGGCTTTTAAATGCAGTGAACATTCAGCCTATGATAATATCTCTCACATTTATTAGCTTTCTAATTGTAAGCCCTTTTTTGATATTAATCTCAACTAAGGAAATATTTAAATTATATGGGTGCAGCACAGTCATTGTGGTTAATGACGACAAATTATGTTATTGAAAATTGCTGAGAAAATAGATTTCAAATGAGCTCACCACAAAAATAAGTTTGTGAAGCAATGCACAAGTTAGTTAGCTTGATTTTGTCATTTCACAATTTACATGTATCTTAACACATTTTGCTGTAAACAGTGAATTTTTTTGTCAATTAAAAAGTAAATGGAGGGCCCGGTGGCGTGGCCTAGCGCCTAAACTCCTTGCCCTGAACGCACCAGGATCCCATATGGGTGCCGGTTCTAATCCCAGCAGCTCCACTTCCCATCCAACTCCCTGCTTGTGGCCTGGGAAAGCAGTCCAGGACAGCCCAAAGCTTTGGGACCCTGCACCTGCATGGGAGACAGCCCAAAGCCTTGGGACCCTGCACCTGCATGGGAGACCCGGAAGAAGTTCCTGGATCCTGGCTTTGGATTGGCGCAGTACCAGCTATTGTAGCTCACTTGGGGAGTGAATCATCAGATGGAAGATCTTCCTCTCTGTCTCTCGTCCTCTCTGTATATCTGACTTTGTAATAAAAATAATTAACAAATTTTTAAAAACTAAACGGATACATGAAAACACTGATTTTTTGATTGAGACACCTGGTTTCATTGCTGTACATGGAAGAGAAATGCTTAGTGTTTTACATCTATTGGAAAACTAAGTTGTAGGGTTTCTAAAAGACAATCTGGATTGTGGTGTTGTGAATGTTGTTAAAAATTTCATTAGTGGAAAATAATCCATAAGAACAATAATACAAAGATAAATTTTGGGAATGAAAGGGTCGAGATTATGCCAGTAAGTCAGTTTTTTCTTAAGTTGACTCTTCTCAGAGAGACACTTGTTGCTGTTGCCTTCACACTGCTTCATGGTTTCCTCTTCCTCCTTTCTCTCCAGGTGTCATAGAGACTTCAGACCGGCTGGACCGCGAATCGACCTCCCACTACTGGCTGACAGTCTATGCAGCTGATCAGGGTGTCGTGCCTCTCTCGTCGTTTATCGAGATCTACATAGAGGTTGAAGATGTCAACGACAATGCACCCCAAACATCAGAGCCTGTTTATTATCCAGAAGTAATGGAAAATTCACCCAAGGACGTGTCTGTCATCCAAATCGAAGCATTTGATCCAGATTCTAGCTCTAATGACAAGCTGACGTACAAAATTACAAGTGGAAATCCACAAGGATTCTTTGCAATCCATCCTAAAACTGGTATGATAGTACAGTTATATGAATGGTTCTTGCTTGCACTCTGTTTATGTGAGGTACATTACACATTAAGTGTTTATCTTTGGCATACTTCCCTTTAGTTTTTGCTAAAAATACCGTTATTTTTAGATGAAAATTTAGTCCACCCAACCTTTTTTCATCCATGCTTGTTTTTACAAAGCAGCCTAATTATTTTGCTCATTAGAGAAATCTACACTTTCAGGTTAAAGAAAATAATTTCATTGATAGCTCCTACTTTAATGAAATTTCTTAAGTTCATAGAAAATGATACTGTTTAAACTTAGAGCAGGATCTGTTAACTGCTAAAGATTTTTTTAAACCCTTGCTTTTGATACAGCATATCAGGAGAATACATTTCACAATTAACTAGTTTACACATGACATTTTAATGTTTTTCTGAAGAGCACTGCTATAATTTTTCAGACAGGGATCAGAAGCATCTTCAAATAGATGTTGGTTACTTTTTTGAATTAATGGATAAACCTTTTGTTTCTCAATGCTTCCCTTCTTGCAGTGTCTGTGACCTCCCTTCCTTCTGAGAATACAGCTCGTTGATTCTTAAATGCTCTCTCAAAACACTTTAAAAATTCCACTCTTTGCTTTCCTGCCATTTCATGATACATTCTATTTCTTCTTAGTCTTTTTATATTGTTTCCATAAAAGATGCTTTACATAGTTATCATTAACTAATAAAAAACTTAGTTCAGGTTTATGAAAGGAAAACTTGGTGTGTGAAGTGTAATATACTTTACTAGAAAAGTTAGAATAAGAACCCCTGTAGGATGTTAAGAGAATAATTTTATTAAAACTGCTCATTATATAGATTATTGACCTTAAACAAAAATATCATACAGCTGTTCAATACTTGTCAGCAGAATCTAATTAACAGAAAATTTTGAACTGGAAGATCTGTGCAGTAATTTATGTAATGCTTTGAACTTTGTGCTTATTATTATTATTATTTTGGCTTTCCATATTGTAGGGTAAATTATTCTATTCAGTTATTGGGCTTTGTATTTGAAATATCAGGGAAATAATATGTAAAAATAAAAATTAGGAAGCATCCTCAAATTTCTTATTAGCCTTTATTATCCTTTGTTTGTGTCAGCTCTAGTTATTTTCTCTTTCTCTCTCTTTTTTTTTTTTAACTTGAAAGCATTCTTTAAGGTGGAAAGAGACCCGAGCTTAAGATCCGTGTAGCAAATAACCATAGAAAGATATCCAGTGGAGACCATGTATACGTGTAATATTTTGTCTTTGGAAAAGCATATTCAAGTGTTAAGTTTTCAAGCTGACGTATATAGACTGTCTCTTGATTGTTAGGAGTACATATAGTTCAACATTTGCTTTTTGCTTTGAGACAATTCTGGTTGGTTTCTCTCATGGAGATAGGAAAGAGAAGCTTAAATTCTTTGAAAATTGATCATTATCATAATTTAATTACACAGGAAAGATATTTAGAATCTTACACTTACTTGGAAGTGTTAAGGATAAGGGTAAGGTGTCCTGGGCCCAAGAAAAAGGGCTAGAATTAAGAGCATGAAAACTTGAAACAGCATGAAAGCTTCAAACAGCTTCTGTGAATGATTAATAACAGTCTTGTTTTAGCAGTGAGGCTATTCACTGTTTTGTGCTGCACTAATAGTCATTAATTGTTGATCCTTCTCTTTTCTGAAATAAAATCAAAGAGAACTAAAAGCAGGAACTTAGAACCATATCACATTTAGAAGAAGGTTGTAGGAATTTTATAGGATTTTGAGGTCTGGAAACATTGCCTAGAAGAGAGTCTCAATTTTGAGCAAGCTAGAAAGTGAAGTCTAAAAGTGAAAGCCTTGGAGTGATGATGACCCCTCATTTAAAATTGTTGGATTAATTAGACATTAAATACGGTTTCATCATTTGTATGTCTTTGGTTTCTCTTTCGGATTAGGTTAAGTCTGTGAAGAGACAGGTAAGCAAGCAAGCAAAAAGTGGATATCTGAACAGATACTGTGTGTCTAAACTGAATAGAAATAAGGCAAAGTAGTAGGTATACATTTAAAGAAATTGTGTCATTTATGTTATTGTGTGAGCTTGGAAACCTGGGTTGTTCTGGGACCCTCTGAAATGATACCACCACTGTGGCATTTTCTTCTTGTAGAAACGTGGTTAGTATAGTGTTTCTATTCCCTTCTGAATCTGTTAATTATAATGCCTCTTTAGGATACTCATCTGCAAAGACTTCCACTTCCCTGCTGTTCTTTATTTTCAGCAGGAAAAGACTCCTCCAGGAGTCTGCAAGTAACTCCTAGGCCCTACGTGGTATCAGGACAGCAGGAAAATGCTCACTAGGGTTTTACAAAGAGGCGTTATCTTTTCTTCTTTTTTTAAAAGATATATTCATTTTTATTGGAAAGGCAGATTTACAGAGGGATGAGAGACAGAGAAAGATTGTCTGTCTGCTGGATCACTCCACAAATAACTGCGGTGGCCAAAGCTGAGCCTATTGGAAGCCAAGAGCCAAGAGCTTCTTCTGGTTCTCCCACACAGGTGCAGTGTCCCAAGGCTTTGGATCATTTTTTGCTGCTTTCTCAGGCCACAAACAGGGAGCTGGAAAGGAAGTATAGGAGCCAGGACATGAACCAACATCCACATGGGATCCCCGCGCTTTTAAGGGGGGGATTAGCCAGTTGAGCCATTGTCACTTCCCAAGTTGAAGGCTGATAACAATGGGGATCGCTATATTTAGAATGTAGGAGTACTTGTAAAGTGTGGTATGAGCTGTGTGGTTAGGAAAGAAGACTAAAACCAGGCCACAGATCACCTAAAATCTATATGAAGTGCAAGAAATTACTGTTTTATTTTGCATGGGCATCATTAAAGAGCATGGTAGCTGTAACTTCACAGGAGCCATTTCTGTAAGATTCTCTTCTCCCAACTAAAAAGAAAGTTTAAGTCTGACCGTCATAATCCAAAATATATGGTCTTCATCTTTCTTAGAATCTTTAAAGCAGGTTTACTTGCAGCAGATAGATGAGTTTCACGGGTAGGGAGGAGGAGAGGGGCTCGATTGCCGATGCTGATGAAAGAAGACTGCTAGGAGAAATGTCCTTGTGATTTATTAGTCCACAGCGGCACCTGGAGACCCTAAATCATGTTGCTTAATAGTTAATGAAAAAGTCACTGGGCTAGAAATCCAAGAGACCTGGGACACAGAAAGGATTTATTTCTGAGGTTGTAGGAAAAACTGGTTCTGGGTTCTAACATATAGTAATTAGTGGTAAACATTTTTGTGCTCCTATTAAGATTTGTTTATGCCAAGTGCAGACCACCCACAAGTCTTATGAGCAAGGGACCACTGCCTCTTGCATGCATTACAGTTGCTGTATTCCTGTAGGCCAAGCAAGGTTTTAGTAGGTGGATCCTGCATCCTATTTGGATATGCAGATTTGATAAAATAATGTGCATCTGTTGGCTGCTTAGCGGTAGAACTTAGTTTGGGACTGTATTTAGCGTAGTTCCAGCAGACTAGAGAGGACCTAAATTCATTCATCATCATTCAAAATGTTTCTGCATGAAATATTTACTGCATGAAATATTTACTGAGTTTGTGCTACATATAGCACTTAAATACTTTAAAAACTTTGTGGCCAATGAGTGAGACAACAAAGAGAAACAGATGTACACAAGGTACTCTGTCAGAAACTCATCTGGAGCAAGTGGGAAACAGACTGACTTGGTAGGCATAATTAGGAAGATGAAATCTCAAAAGTTTATGGGCTGATTTTGAAGTTGTTAAAGTATCAGTTGGTGGAGAGAAGTAGGGGATGTTTGTCATATTGTGGGGACAATTTAAAAGAGTTGTATTAGAAACCAAGAAATAAAATTAGATGAATATATGGGAGTATGACTGTACTTGATGAAAAATATTGAATAATAGAAGAGTTAACATAACATTTGTTATTTTTAAAATAATAGCCTAGTGTTGAGAGGCTATGTGTAATCCCTTGGAACATTTTGTTCAAACTTGAATTGATTCTACAAGAAGTCATTTTGGAAAGAAGAAATACATCTCATTGCTGTTTTCTTCTTTTGTCATAGCATGACAAATTATCATTTTTTAAAGGCAATTAGGGCAGGCATTTATTTCGGCATTAAAGACATCAGTTGGGGTACCTATATCCCATATAACAGTACCTGGGCTCATGCCCAGGTTCTCTGACTGTAGATTCCTGCTAATGCTTACCTTAAGAGGTACCAGGTGATGGCTTAAAGTATTTGGGTTCCTGCCACCTGTGTGAGAAACTTGGAACGAGTTCCTGTTTACTGACTGCAGCCTGACTCCACTCTGGCTGTAGCAGGCATTTGAGTAGAGAACCCCAGTGCGTGGGAGATCTCTCTCTCTCTCTCTCTTCTCTCTCAATTAGACAAGAAAATGTAAAAATACAACAAAAAGGCTGCTGGGATTCAGAAATATTCTAAATTTTGCCCTCTGACAACTTAATATGAAAAGTTTATCTTCAACTAGTTGATGTCGGAAACTACTTTCTGTACTTCAAATAATGCATATATTACTTATATGTCAGGTGTCAATGTGTTTTCTTTTTCAGCATACAGGCAAAATTCTGTGTTCCTTTTTGTATACATAATGTGTTGACCACATATATTGTTATAGCATTTTTTGTTTGATTACGTCCAGTATCAGCATATAGATTTGCTGCTTTGGTTGAAATAAAGTGTGCAGCTGCTCATGGCAGCAGAGATACAAAAGCCCAGAATGTTCAATTGTTTAAGGCTGGTTCCTGCAGAAACAAGTTCCTTCTACCTTGTGCTCTGTTAGGGATGGGAAAGAGGAATTTCAAGCACAAGAGAGGAGTGTACTGTCGCAAGTTTCATTATCCACATGGAACAGTAGAAACTGATACCAGCCTCATGCAGTATCTTGTTGCTCAGTCTGAACTTCTTAGGGAGTGATAGACAATTTATAATTGACAGATAATTTT